GCTGCACTAGCTTCATTCTGTCTTGATGTTGAGGTATTCTTTGAGTCTTGCTGCTTTATCTCCGTATATTCAATCCACATCGACCTCTAACGAAGAGCTGCCTTTATTGGTTAAAACATGTGGCTACACAGGCAGGTCAAAGGGGCGGGGCCTTGAATTGGGATGGGCGTTTATTAGAAGTTTTACGGTATGTTACATGAATATGTTGCTGAATTTGTTCTCTTGTTTTGAAGTGAAACAGCAGCCCGTGTTAGTTTGACATTTGAATCTTTTATTAAACCAACATCTGTTACACCTCCAGAGTCTTCCTTCAGACAGAGTGTGAGTGACAGTGGACATTAAGAGACAACTGAAAAAACCTGGAGAATTGAATGTAAAGGTGAAGAGCGGCCATCGCTCACCTTCTCTTCGTTGTCTTTTCTTATCAGACGAACATCATCGAACACACTGACTACTAACTCGTCATTAGTAGGAACCGAGTAGAAAAAACAACCAGAAAAAGGGATTAAAAGCGCGTCTTCTTTTTCAGAGTGATCATTTAAAGCTAAATACGGTAACACTTACGCTCTGTAGAGTCACTTTGCTTCCTTCTATATTTTTCATCTTTTAGTAAATTCAAGTGGAAGAGAGTGAAGACCCGACGTCTGCATGCTAACTGGTTGATTGGCTGGGTCTATCTACAACCGTCGCTTATATTAACAAACACACAGCACATACTCATACACACCGGCGCGTTATATTAGAGCCTGGACCGACTATCTCCTACTAAGTGGTTTGATAGGATGACGTAGAAATATTTGGCTGGATTCATACCGCATAAAGAAGTCAGTCACCGATGACGGGCCTGTCCTGTAAAAGGTGTCACCAGTTCTCCTTAATGAGGAAAAGTGGAAAACAGGAAGTATAAATCTAAATCACACCTGGTGTTGAAAGTGGCACATGGCACAGGACGTCACATTTAATGACCTGGGTTAAAAGACAGGGAGCGAATTAGACCTAAAATGCTCATGATTCCAGTTAGTTCCATTCAGGGGCCATTCTAGGGTCTGTTGGGCCCCAGGCAAAGGTTCATTGTGGGGCCTCTTCCAATGAATTTTCCCTCTGTCTTTTTTCACTTTTTTTCAGATTGATAACTCCTTTTCATTTTCCTTAATTGACACATTTTGTTTTTCACCTGAATAATGCTGTGATGCTTAGCAGGGTATTGAGAGTGAGTGATGTCAGATGGGGCCCCCTTAGGCAGATTTCCTGTCGTTGCTAAATGAGCACAATTTGAGGCAATGCTCGGGTTTCAAAGTTTGTCAGCCGTTAGGGGGCCCCTACTGACCTGGGTCACCTAAGGTTAGCAAAGAGTTTATCTGAGGCTCCAATCGTGACAGAAGAAAGTAAGAAGCAACCCTCACATGTTTTGACACACTTCCTGTTTGGAGCCTAAAAACCTGTCGTCTGTCAAAGTCAGCCAGCGTCTGACCATCAGTGAAATGTTTGATTATGAAGGAAGGGTGGGATGATCTCAGGATGTCATTGTAACCACTCCCCTTGAGGGGGCGCTCTCTCACTGCTCTGAACTGTGGCAGCCTGTTCAGTGAGAGACGGTGATTGAGCCGGCTGATAGCTGACTCCTGCCGTCCATCATAGACCCGATGAAGCGCTGTCCGCTGCGCACTAAATTCTCCCTGGGGTATGAATTAGACCTACAGTGACTGAAACACTTCCTGGAGTTGATAATGATGGAATAGTCTAAAGACTGTTCAAAGATGTGTTTCAGGTATTAAACTTGTTAAACTTTTAGACTTCTATCGATGCGAGAAGATTTTACACTTGAACGAGACATGAAAGAAAAAGAAACATTAAGTCGTCTCCCTGTAACATGACGGGTTCTCACTGGTACACATGGCGATTTTTCCTCGCCTGATTCCCTAAATTCTTCTTTTTACAGTCTGTACAGAGTCAATGTACACGTGATCTATGAGGAGTGTGTGTGTCAGAGAGAGCGAGCTGCACACAAACACACAAAGTCAAAGGTTTATGTCGACAAAAACGGACATCATCTGGACCTTTAGGGGGGGGGGGGCGTCAGTGGTTTCTAGGCTGGTCCGTGTGTGTGTGTGTGTGCGTGTGCGTGTGCGTGTGTGTGCGTGTGCGTGTGTGTGTGTGTGTGTGTCTCTCTATGGAGCACCCACAGTCATCAGAATAAGACGGATACAACGAGTTTGACATATGCCCGAACATTTGGAAACCTGCAGTCGATTGCACGTCCATACACATACAGGACACACACTCGTGTCGTAACAAAAACACACACGGGAGCCTACAATACAATTTCTCAAGAAGGCATTAAGGACATATCCTCAAATAAATATAAATAAATTAAATCATATAAAAACAAACATGTTAAAAACATAGAAAGTCTGTTAAATACAGAGAAATCTCAAATGAAAACAGGAAGTCACAGTACGACCTCGTACACACACGGACACATTTAGTAAACAACGACAGACACACACATTCACAAATCATTAGTGAGCAGAAAGGCCTGTTGGGGGGGGGGCGGGAGGTGGAGGTCTGTGGGATCAGGTGGGGTGACAGGACGGGGGCTGGGGGGGCATCTTTCAAACCCCTCCCAGGAGGAACATCGAGCATGCTGTGCTGTTTTTAAAAACAGTGTGACGCGGCCTCACTGGCAGTGCGGCTGTCACACCGTCTACTGTTTCTGTTCCTAGCCGGGTTTCACAGCAGCGTGGACTGTGGTGGGACGAGATGGACGACCTAAAGTTTAGCATTTGACTATTATCACGTTTCATTGTTTACACTGGATCCTGTTCATCTGGATTAAAATACAACTTCCAGCTTCTTAAAGGTGGAGTCAGCAGCTTGTTCCTTCAAAATAAAAGACAGACTTCTCCTAAAGTAAAGACAGAGTCAGCAGCTTGTTCCTTCAAAATAAAAGACAGACTTCTCCTAAAGTAAAGACAGAGTCAGCAGCTTGTTCCTTCAAAATAAAAGACAGACTTCTCCTAAAGTAAAGACAGAGTCAGCAGCTTGTTCCTTCAAAATAAAAGACAGACTTCTCCTAAAGTAGACAGAGTCAGCAGCTTGTTCCTTCAAAATAAAAGACAGACTTCTCCTAAAGTAAAGACAGAGTCAGCAGCTTGTTCCTTCAAAATAAAATACAGACTTCTCCTAAAGTGAAGCTGCTCCATCGTCTCTTCTGGGCCTCCATACATGTGTGGTGGTGACTGTGTCTGCAGAGACTCTGTCCTCTGACTGGATTTTACTGATCTGCTTTGTTCTGGTTGACTCGGCACGTTTCTGGGCGGAGCTGGTGTTTTTCTTCCAGCCAATGAGAGCGCAGCAGGTGAGTTTAGGAGTGGATAAAAAATATAATCAGAGTGAGGAGAAACACCAAGTGGATAAAGCTCGTTCTAAAACGAGGGTGAACCTTGTGTTGTCTTTTACTCGTGAACGTGGAGTTGGTCTACTTCCTGTTGGACAGGCAGGTGACAAACACCGGAGGTTAGCTTGTGCTAGCATGTGTTAGCTTGCAGTGTAGCAACAAGCAGTAAACGTACACACTACATCCTGCAGTGAGCCCAGGAGGAGGAGGAGGAGTGGCTTAGTTTGAAGTTTTACAAACTGGAAAATGCTTCTGACTCCACCTTTAAGTTTTCTCTAAACAGCGTGAAGCTGTGTTTAAACTTGTCTGTCTGTCACTTATAGTGATGTGTAAGAGAACGCAGTAGCATCATTCACTTTGTAACACCTGTTTCTAAATCGTACAGGTAAGCATGAGAGTGAACCGGACGACCTTTAGAGTTACTCTAATTATTCCACATATTCCCACTGTTCCCTGGCAATAAATAAAGTTTATATTAATAATTTAATGAAGGTAATAAGTCAGCAATGAAGTATTCATTCTTTAAGTATTGTCTTCCTAGCTAACATGGCGAGCAGCATCGAGGGGTGTACTGATGTAACAGAATAGAAGACTTTATAGTTCACCTCTGTTAACTTAAGATTTATTCATACCTGCTCGGGGCCGTCATGAGGAAACACCAAATATATTTTGTTTCTAAAAGACCTGCGGAGAACGTTCTTCTGCGGTCAGCCACAGAGCGTGGGCGAGTGACCATCAGCTCTCCAACGGAAACCAGTTCATAATGTTGTGTTCACTTCAAACGTGGAATTTATCAAACTCTAAAAGAACGTGAACAGAGAGGAGTAAAACCACGAAGTGTCCACGCTCCCGCTCTGACAGGTAAAAACGCTCATCTCACACAGCCTGAACAGCTACACTCAGAGAGGTCAGGAGGCTGATGAGGTGGAGGAGTGAGGTCCCCCCCCCCGTGTGGAGGTGTCAGCTCCTGGTTGCGGCAGTGTAAAACAACGTGGCACCTCTCCACCTGGTGTCCGAGGCGCCTGTCTGCAGCTAGGCCTCATATCATATCTGAGTGTGTTTAGTTAGCTCGTGTTTGTGTGAGAGGTTTAAACACCTGTGGCAGAACTTGTGTAAAATCTGTTTGTATGAATGCATCATTCATCCTGTGAGTGTTCATCCTCACTCTGTATTCGGTGATAGTGACACTTCCTGCTTTATTCCACATAGTCCGTGCACGCTGTGTTCTGTCAGAAACTACAAGATCTCAGGAGAACTACAAGATCACATGAGAACTACAAGATCACAAGAGCACTACAAGATCACAGGAGAACTACAAGATCAGAGGAGAACTACAAGATCTCAGGAGAACTACAAGATCACAGGAGAACTCCCAAGATCTCAGGAGAACTACAAGATCCCACGGGAATAAAGGGAACAACATGTGTCTTTGTCTCTCTGAGGATGATTAGTTGTTCTTTCTGATTTGATGTCATGTTGATAAAGTGATGGAAAACATGATCAGGAGTCTGTAACTTGTGTTTTATTTTGAAATTCAACAGATGCGTTCCTGTGTCTGTTTCCTGCCTGGGTTGATCTATTGTGTCAGAAATAGACTCAGAGGTGAGCGGTGCTGCTGGTTCACTCCGGAGACGGGCCGCAGTGCGTGCTGTGGAGATACGAGCGTAACGTGCTGACGGACGGTGGCGTGCATGGAGTATGTGGACTTTGGCAGTTAGTACTGTATGTGAGTTTGTGTTTCAAGTTGTTGATCAAAAAGAAGCTGACCTATGAGTGTGACCATGACTTCAGACTGTATGTGTGGACACTGGACTCATGTTAAAGGCACACACAGCACTCTGATCACACATGGAAACCTTGTTGGATCCTATACGGTGTTTGTTTGTTTGTTGTGAATGTCATTGAAGGACAGCGGGTACAGAAATAGAAAAGACAGCCGGTTCAAACAAACAAAACGAGGCAGTTCAGTTCAAAGTAAACATGTGTGTATGTGACCATCCTGTGTGAGGGGAGTGTATGGGGGCATTTCATGGGGGGAAGGGGGGTTAAAGGGAGCGTAGGTGAAGCTGAGGGTAAAGAGTGTGTGTGTGGTGGGGGGGCTATAGGATTCCGTCCATGAAGCTGGTGTCCAGTCGCTGGATCAGCACCCGGATGAAGGACATCTCCTTGCGGGTGTTCTCAAAGATCACCCTCGGGTCGTCGGACTGGCATCGCAGACAGTTAGGAGCCATGACCATGGCCAGGTTGTTCACGTCCATCTTGGTGATGACCACATTGGCGGGCTGGGCAAATACCTACACACACACACACACACACACACACACACACACACACACACACACACAGACTATGAAAGACACGCCTCAGGTCATATTTAAGAAATCACATGATGGTCTTATGGTGGACAGCGTCTTGACTAATAGTGTTTTTCCCCCTGTAGAACTTTACCTAATCCCTCCCTCCTCTTATTGACAGTAACACTGTCCTCTGATTGGCCAACAAACACAGGATCTTCACCCAGGAGACTTCTGTTCAAGTCCTGTTTAAGAATGTGAGTTGACCACGCCCCTCTCTGGAAGAAAAAAACAACTACTGGAAATTGTTTTGGTTCTTTCTGCACAGTGGTTCAGTGGTCAGCGAGGAGGTTCCTGGTTTGAATCCCCGTCTGTCAGGAGTCTCTCTGTGAGGAGTCTACATGTTCTCTTACATCTGAGATTTATTCATTCTGCTTAACTGACACTCTGAGGCCAGACTTTAAGTGTGTGTGTGTGTGTGTGTGTGTGTGTGTGTGTGTTACCTGTAGGAAGCGGATGAGGTAGCAGAGCACCAGTTTGTTGATGTGTGGCAGGCCCAGCACCACGTTAACAGCTGCTTCTGGGTTGTCATAGTGATTGATACACTCCTCGTAAAACTCGTGGGGAATCAGCGGCTCCTCCAGCTCCCGGTACCAGAGCTTCAGCAGGGACGCTGGGGGACACACAGAGACACTTCAACAAGAGGACATTTTAAAAAGCTGGTTGAGAAACACACAAGGTTTATTAGAGCTCTACTACACTGAGTTCAGGGGGTAAGTGAGGACCACGTTATCAAAGTTATTCCCCATGACAACCAACCAATCATGATCCCTGTGACACCACAGAAGACCAGCAGTGATGTCATCATGTCCTTGTCTGTTCAGAGTGTGTGTGTGTGTGTGTGTTTACCTGGGATGTGCGGGTCTTCCAGTCCTGTGGGGATCTTCCATTGATCCACTTGCAGCTTGAGGGCATTGACTTCATCGATGTCCCCGGGTACCCTGGAGATAAGAGAACACAGGATGGTCAAACGGGGTCTTTCCAGTCTCAGTCTGGTTTGTGTGTTATGACGCCCTCGTCTGCATTTAGAGTGTGTGTAAACCTTAAAATCCCTCCAAGAGCTACAGAACCTGATTCTCTCCTCACCGCTGTCATATATAGACCCTTATAGAGTTGTTTTTATATCTCTGAACATGTGATCTGTAATGTTTCCTCCCGTCTCTCACTCACCTGAAGATGCCCTCCGTCTGGTCTCCATTGAGACCCAGAACCTCTTCAGAGAGGCGGGTCTGTACCCAGGGCAGCTGGCTGTCTGGATAGCGCTCCTTCTGGAGAGCCATCACCTCCTCCAGGGACGAGCCAAACATGGATGGACTGAAGATGGCGTTCCTGGCGTGTATGATCTCTTCCAGACAGGGCTTCTGTAGGCCCTGAGGACACACACACACACACACACACACACACACACACACACACACACACACACACACACACACACACACACACACACACACACACACACACACACACACACACACACACACACACACACACACACACACACACACACACACACACACACACACACACACACACACAGTTAGAGGAGGGAAGGTGAGGGTCAGACAGCAGAGGGAGTGATATAAACACAGGTCCATCAGCTCTCACAGGTCATAAGAGGGCTGTTAGCGGTGAGCAGGGGAACACTGCGGGCTCCTAAAAGTGACAAATGATCCGAGTCACAAACACGCTGAGAGTTTGGCACAACAAGCTACACGGGCTCCGAGCCAAGCTGCTGCCCTCCAACACCTCCGTACTCACAGGTAAGGCCAAAGGGATGAGCATTACATGTTGAAACAACCGTTTTATAAATCCACCTGATAACCGAGTACACATCATCCTCTCATAAGAAGAGTTATTTTTATTTTATTATCAGATTCAGAATTCCACAGTTCATGCTTCTTGTCCACTAATAAGAACATCTGTGGTTTCTCTGGCTCCTCCAGCCTGCATGTTAAAATGTCTTTGGGCGGGATATGCTCCATTTCCACCAAACGGTCCGTTTCAGTTGGGCACAGTGTGATATGCAGAACACTGATCCTGGAAGCCAACCAGCTGCTCTTGCTGATGGGTTCCAACAACCTGTTAGAGTTAGACTCAGTCCTGCAAACACCCGTCTGCTGTCAGAAATACTTCATACATCTCTGAAAATAAGTCCCACACAACATGCTCGTCTCCCTCTCTTTGAAAGAAATGTTCTGAAACCAGAGCAGAAAGAATAACCTGTACACGTGTTCTGTTTTTAAAGAAGTCTCTTTTAGGAGCTCGTGTCCCTGAGACTTAACGAGCAGGGAGCTGAGAGAGATGGAGACAGACTGCTGCTTACCTTCTTGGCTCCGGTCAGCGCCCCTTGGTCAGCTTCCTGTAGCAATATTTAGCATAACTGCTAATGGCCACCTGCAACAACAGAGAGAGAATATTTAGACCAGAAGAAGATCTCTTTTGTTTGTTGTTGTTCTAACAAACATATCATCTTTCATTCAGTGAAGGACGTGAGGTGAGATCAGAAGCAGCCCTCAAATAATGTAGAGAGTCTTCATTTAACCACCATGATCATTAAAGTCCCCCAACCTACAGTGAGGTGATTGGGCACTACTACCACCCGACGCCCCTGCCAACCAGTCACCACCCTCAGGCTGCATCGTCCCCACAACCACCACCGTCCTCCATCATGCATGGTCTGCTCCGACCTCCACCTCAGGAACGAGAGGAACACAAAGGAGGAATCCTTCCTGCAGATTATCCCATATGCTTTGTTGGAAAGCGTCTCCAGATAAACACTTGTTCAGCGCTTTATAAATAATGATTGATTGATAAAGTCTAAGATGATCTTTTCATCTTGGCCTGGCCCTTGTGTTTGACATTACCTAAAGTGACCAGACAAGGGTGTCAGCGAGCCAGCACACTTCTCTGTTGTGTTCTGATTGGTTTGTTGTCTGTCTGTAAACATAGCATGGTGGACTGTGGAACCGCACTGTCCTCTGGGATGAACGAGGTGATCCTGAGGGTACCATGAAGTCTGAAGAGTAGTCAGACCAGAACCTGCTGAGTTTTCATATTTAAGATCCTTAAAGTTCTTTATTGAATAGATCACTACAGAAAAATTAATCAGACAAGCTTCTTATTCTAGACGTGAAATGAATGAATCAGGAAAAGCTTTTGATGGTCGGGGACACTAAATTCACACATACTCCGTGCGCCGCGGTCCGTCAGCGCCACGCACTACATTGTACTTAGCTTCCACTCTAGTCAATCATTGTGTTCACACAGCGCGCGCTGCGGTCCGACTCCGGCGCGTGCCAACGACGGCACTAAATTCTGCTCCGTTTCAAATACGCAGCGAGTCTATTTTCGCCGGAGCACGCTGCAAGTTCGCGTCAAGCTGGACAGAATATGACAGCCCGGACAGGAAGTCAGACAAGGAAACGCACAGAGCATCCGGTCAATTTCAAAATAAAAGACAATATACGGACTCGCGATCGTATTTTTCATCACTTGATCAACATGACGTCAAAGCATCCTCAGAAAGACAAAGCAACATGTTGTTTGCATGTTTCTCTCTTTATTCCCGCGGGATCTTGTAGATCTCTTGTGATATGTCATGGGTGCGCTGACGTCCCAGCCGTCCGACGGAGCAAAACCGTGGCGCTGACGGACCGGCGGCGCACACCGAGTATGTGTGAATTGGGTGTCAGTGTAAAATCTCAAAGTTGAAAACAAATCTTAAACAAAACAAAAACCAAGAACAATATATATATAACAATATATAAATACATTATATGTTTTGTGAGTGTTTCTTGTCATTTCTCTTGCATTCATAAAAAGGAAACAGAAAGAAAGCTCTTTATGTCTGAAGACGTCTGTGCTGCTCCTGCAAATATCTGAATCCAGTCAGCCTGAGATGAATCAAGATGACCACCAGGGGGCAGCAGAGCAACACAGCAGCAGGTCTTTGTTAAACACCGTCACAGGTCGATTATTCAGGACTTACTCAGACTGACTTCAGACCTTCAGGTTTGTCATCACAGATCTGATCTCCTACATGGGCTGCTGGGTTCAAAGGTCATTGATTTTATGTTCTTATGAGCCAATTAACTGGGCAGGAGATTTTGTTGGCTTGTGTTTCTGTATCAGTTTACAGGTTTACAGACGGCCCTTCAGGTTAATTGTTTCACTTCTACACATCCAGAAAACGACAGAGGATTGGTCGTCTTAATGCTCAACACTTAAGGTATTATTCAGATGATCCTATGAAATGAAAATGTCTTTCTAAGATGAACATTTCATTGTGACACATCATAAATCAAATCCCCGGCTCAGTGGACATATCTTCCTGGGCGCGGTTGTTCAAAAGGTTTAATCCAGATCAAAATTATCTGGATTTGGTAATCCACTTTTTGTCTAAAAGGATCAGCTAATCCAGCTCACATTGATCCTGGCTGTTCAAATAGAAGCTGAACTGGATCACCCTGATCCGGGAGCAGACCTTTAATAATCACCAATTTCAAAATAACCAGTACTTTAAACACGCAGTATGTAAATTTCACCACCAGGGGGCTTTCATTCAACAATAACAAAAGATGACATTGAGGCAGACGGGGAATCATGGGAGTGATTCTCTGCTACCCCCTGTTGGAATTATCTGAGGTAATGTAAGTACTCAACTAAAACATATATATAACAAAGTTTCAGTCAGTTTTAATTCATTTAGATATTTTGGTGTAAAAGTTCGATGTTTAAAGGGGACTTCACGTTACATACTTTGTCCACAGGGGGTGCCAAAATCCACACAAACTGAAAGACACTCACAGCTTCTTTTAATGAAATACTTAACGATTGTACTTATTGACACTGTCGCTGAAGAGAAAAGGGCAAGTTAGGGCAAATTAGGGCAAATTATAATCTAAAAAAAGTCTTAAAATATCAACTATCACTTCAAAAAGTTGTTTTGTGTCGGCAGGTTATTAATTAGTTTCTTCTCGTATTCCAGCATGAATCTGCTGGGATCAGGAGGATCCAGAATCAAAGTAATCAAAGTAATCCTGACCCTACTCAAAATCTGCACAATGCAACCTGCAGGTTTCATGTGGATTAACCCAGGATCTGATCATCGATCCAAATACCATTATGTAATCCTTCTTTTCTTTTGAACAACTCCATCTCCAGATTTAACCTTACGTTTCAACAACCGGGCCCTGGAGACCACAAAAGACCTCACCCCCTTACCCTAACCCTATCACCTTTATGGATATTTGACCCACATGTACCGAGCTCACTAAAGTCCGTAGTCATGGTTACAGCTCACCCTTGGTGTCGTTGAGAGGGTCCATGTGTCGGCAGATGTAGCCCTCCAGATAGTTGTGGAAGCGAGGTGTCGGGGGGAAGAAGGCCAGGCAGATGGCCATCAGCTCCCAGCCTCGCTCCAGGCTGTCGTAGCGGAAGTTTTCTGTGGTTTGACGACACAGCTGGATGTAGAGTTCATCACGCAGACCCTGATGGCTCCACCCACGCACCACCACCTGACAGAGACGTACACAGAGCCAGGTGAGAGACGTGGAATAACTTCTTTATGAATGAAAGTCACTACTGTAATAACTACAGTTCAAATGTAAAGAAGATACCAATATGAAGATATGTTTTCACTCTTGTATTATATCAACATGGGCTGACTTAAAGGACCAATCAGTGAGATATATACTGAAATAAATCATGAAATGACCTTACTATATGATCAGACATTAAGGAAACATGCTATGTTGAAGTGCTGGCTTCTCTGACAACAATGCAGCAGTCAGTATGTCCTCCTTCTAACTTTAGATTCTGCTCCTGAATGCTCTGGATTTGTTTGGACCAGAGAAGGTAGGCGCTTTTAAGACACCCCCCCACACGGCCGTTTTGAACGGCCCTCGGTTTGCCAGATATGAGAGCAGTTATCAGGTCAACAGGTGTTTGCAGCGATGGAAGCGGTCAAGAGAAGTGGTTCAGATAGAAGTGATTGTACCCGACCTAAAAAGCCTCTGCATGTTTCTAATAAGCTCCACGAGCAGAAACGTGCTCAAACTAGGATCAATATTGGAGATGCTTTTTGAAAATGGAGAGAGGTTAGAACACAGAAAGGTTTACAGACCCATGCAGAGCTGGATAAACACTGAAGCTTCAGAGTCCACCACATGGTGACCTGTGTGAGCATCTACTCTAGAGAGAGGGGGGGGGAGAGACAGCTCTCTACAATGTTTAGAGTTTAGACTGCAGTACCCATTTTAAACACTAGGGGTCAGAGTTACATACTGCTCCTTTAATATTACATATCATATAATTAAACACAACATCACTATGATTTATTGTCTATCTCTCCAGGGTTTACAACTGAATGATTGGTTTGTTTAACATCTTTAACTGGGACAGATTATTCAGTTCCCCCGAGCTCTGCTGAGATTTTGTTACTTTTACGATGTTTGAGCTCATTGTTGAGTTTTATGGCCCATTACTTGACTTTTCTCTTCAGTGTCACTGCTCTTATTTTCCAGCTGCACTAGGAGAAAACTTTGGATTTAGAAGCTGCACAGTTTTATAAAAGAGGCCCCTGGTGTTTTAATAGTTTCCCCTCAAAGTCACACAGTGAACAACAACAGCCTCTCGGTGTGAAGCCTGCTGCACACTTCAGCAGCCTGCAGAGAGGTGGAGAGACGAGTGATGCTGGTTCAGTCTGCCCTCTGCAGACGCTGCATAACTCTGGACGGGTTCCATAAATAAAAGTTAGTTAGCCGCTGAAAACGTTTCTGCAAACGAGGCTTAGGTTTGTAACCCAGCGTCGAGGACATCAGGGCAAAGTCCTCTCGCTTCAGAGGAACATCGAGGTGACACACGTTAGTGAGAAATGTGGCTGTTAAGTGTTTTTAAATGAGTGTGCACAAACTCCAGAGCCACAGCGTAGGGGTCAACCTTTGAGCGCCGGTCTCCCATGTAGGTCTGGACGAGTTTTGAATTGTCCACGGCTTCCTCTTCACTGTGCGGTCTGAGGTCACAATCATAGGCTTCTTAATGGGCTCACTGCTCCAGGCCAGCATGTTGGCAATGGACACTTTCTTCTGAACCGAGAAAACAAGGACGGAGGTTAACACAAAGACAAGTACAAGAGGCTGGTTTCAAAACCGCCTACTACATACAACAATTGAACCTAGTGTGCCATATATATACTGCATACTACGTTCAACAGTAGTCTGACCTCTGACCTCCAGTCGGTGGTTATTCTGCAGTACACCAGGCCAGTCTAAGCTGGTTTGTGTCTTTGAATGAGGAAGTAAACAACAGCCCTGCTGACGT